AACTTAATATAGACAGGATGGGCCCAGAATAAGGCCCATTACAGAAAAACATAAATAACAAGAAGGAATAAGCAACCTATGGGCCATTCGGCCCATCTTCTCTACAATGTCCATCATTCCCAATTTTCAAGTGCACTTTGAAGTTTCAACTTTCAATTGAGGTACTCCTTTAGTGAACATACCTGCTAACTATTGGTCGGTCTTCACATATGGGAGACAAACTTCTCTAGTTGTCACCTTCTCTCTAACAAAGTGTTGATCTGCCTCAATATGTTTGTGTGATCATGCTGCCCCGGGTTATGTTCTATATTGTTTGCTGCTTTATTATCACAGTAGAGAATCAATGGCTTATCCTAGGCAATCCCTAATTCACCAAGGACCGCATCCACAATACTTAAGATAAGCCATCTGCCATGGCTTTGTACTCAATCTCTGCACTACAGCGAGCTACAAGCCTACAACAGACTGCTTCTTGCTCTTCCAAGAGACTAAGACCCCCAACAAAAGCACAGAACCCAAATGTAGAGCTCATGTCATCGAAGCACCTCAATCCTCACCTGATCATGCCTAGAAAACAATATCACCTTTCCAAGATAGCCTTTCAAATATGTGAGGGTCTTGTATATTGCTGCCAAATGTGTAGTATGGGGTGGATGCATATACTGGCTTACTACACTCACAAAATAAGCAACATCTGGTCAAGTCATGCATAGGTATAATAATCTCCCAACTAATCTCTGGTACATACCTTTCTTAGTCAGAAACCCCCTCAATAGCATTGTTCCTATGATTCAGATCAATTGGTGTATCAGTTGGCTTTACTCCTAAGAAATACCTCAGCTGCCCCAAGTCCTTAGACTTTGCACTTGAAAATTCTTTTGATTAGCAATCTCATCCTCGTCCTTACCAATTAACATTATATCATCAGCGTAACTATCAAAGCTATCACATGCTGCCCTTTTCTCTTCATAAATAGTGTGGTGACATTGTTACTGAGTATATCCAACCTTTAACAAGGATCCATGAAACCTGCCAAATGATTCAAACCATGCCAAGTAGATTGTTTGAGGTCATACAAAGCTTTCTTCAGCTTACACACATTCCCCTTGGGCAAATGCTTAAAAAAACCAGGAGGGGTATCCATGTTCTGTTCTTTCCCTTTCCTTCTACCTCTTGTTCCTTCTCTGACGTTTGTGTTTTTCTTGCTTTTGGACTTTTCTTTCTCTCATGGCTTCACACGTTGAATCCAAAATCTTTTTCTTTAGATGTCTGCGGTCAGCTGGCAATGAGATGCTCAAAATCTGAGTCCGGTAGAGGATTTGTCTACCTCACAAGAGAGGCCTGATTTGGTTCTGCGATTCCATTGAAAAGGCTCTACTTGATACCTCTGCTAAAAAGTTAAGCAAAATGGCTGATAAAGGTTGATCTTTCTTCACAGAAATAAGCCAGAATGACAAAGGAAGCTGCCTGGTTATTGTGTTCTTTGGCAAAGGAAATTTTAAATCGGTGTGCATACATTTTGGAGAGCAGGATAGCGGTTGGTCTTGCTTCCTAGAAACACTATGGAAGGTGATGGAAGACCAAACAAGAGGTTGTTGGTTGGCAGGATGGGAAAGATCATGAAATACTAGTGGCTACAAGGGTTGAAGAGACTGATCAACCTGCATGTCTATATAAAGAAGCTATGTTAAGCAAAGGGGAAAATATCACAGTAGCTAGACAAGGTGGAGAATCATGGGAGGAGACTTTGGTGTGCAAGGTGCATGAAAGGCTGAACTGGAAAATGCTAAGACAGAATATCATGGCTATTTTCAAAATTAATGGACACCTAAAGGTGCTACCAGTGATTAGAAATGAACCTATTTCCAAGTTCTTGGTTCCTTCAAATTCGAGTAATGGCTTTAATTGGGACTTGGGATTTCAAAGGGGTATAAGAGACTCTGAAATTCATAACGTTCTAACCCTACTTGAATTGTTGGAAAAAGTCTTTCTTGACCCTTCCAAGGATGACAACCGAATTTAGACTTGTACTCCTTCCTGTTTCTTTTCTTGTGTGTCGTTTTTCTAAGCCATGTCTCAACCCATTTATAGCTCTCTGCCTCCCTTTCCTACTAAGGAGATATGGTGCAAGCCTATTCCACCTAGAGTTGGGGCCTTTTGTTGGGAAGTTGTTCATGGAAAGATTAATACTTGTGACTTGCTTCAAAGAAAGAGACGAAAGTGTTGCTTATCCCCTCATTGGTGTACCCTATGTAAGGCTAATGGTGAGAGCTGTTATCACTTATTTCTTTCCCCTTTACTTCTATTTGGGAATGGTCTTTCTCCTTGTTTGGGTGCAGGTGGAATCCGCCACTGGATGTTTAAAGCCTATTTGCACCATCTTCCCTTGCATGGTCAAATAAAAGGGGAAAATCTATGTGGAGATGTCCGAGAGCTGCAACGGTATGGACAGTTTGGGATGAACGAAATTCTAGAATTTTTCTAGAAAAAGAAAGAAACAATGAAGAGGTTAGGGACAGTTTTGATTATCTCAGTACACTGGCTGAAGTCCATAGATTCCTTTTCAAATGTGTCAATGGACAATTTGCTCAGAAACTGGAAAGAAGTGGCCGAATCTTCATCTTCTAAGACTCTCTAGTTATCAGTGGTATCCACCATAAAGAGGCTGTATCAAACTTTGATGGTAGTAGTATGGGAAACCCAGGAAGATCGGGTATAGGTGGAGTATTCAGGGACAAGGAAGGTAAGATTATTGCTCTCTATTCTGGTCCAGTTGGTGAAGGAGACTCTCTTAGAGCAGAAGTTTTGAACTTGATGGAGGGTATACAAAGGGAGAAAGAACTGAACATCAGAAAACTGATTATTGATGGAGATTCGAAACTGGTAATTAGCTGAATACAAAGTGACGAGATGAAGATGTGGATTTACAGCAATGAAAAGAAGAAATTTAGGTGGCTGACAAGAGAAATGGAAATCTCTTTCAACTGGACAAAGCATTGTGCTAGTTCTGTAGCAGATGCTTTAGCCAAACAAGGGGTGGGAAGAGAAACTTTATTCTGGGCACAATTGTAAATCAGAAACTTGTATGTGGGGAGAGGCAAGAGATTTTGTCTCTCATTGCCTTTTTACCATTTACACATACTTATCTGCTGTGTACATTTAGCATATAGTTTCTAATAAAGGTTTGGTGTTATCGATAAAAAAAGGTGCTACCAGTGAAAAAGAAGTTGGCGATAGTGTTGATCCCAGAGTTAAAGCAGAAAGCAACGAAGTACCTGCACCGGTGGGGTTGTACAACACATGTTATTTACTTGAAGTAAATAATGAGCAGTTATGCCCTTGCAAATTGAGTTCTGATGGTATTTTCTGCATTCAGTTTTGAATCATAATATAGAGAAAGTGAATAGTATTGAAATAGATCCTTAAAAGAAAATGGTTTACTTCTTTTGGATTGTCATATGCATATAAGGTGACCTGGAGTTCTAACTAGTAATCTCTTCAAACATAAGAGAAGTAGTATTTAATTTTTCCTTCAAGCATATTCATTTCACCACCATAGAAGAAACTATAACTTGTATATGCAGAATACAATCTATTTTTATATCTAAGAAACATCAATCTAATATGGTCTCAATTTTCAGGTAGAGAAGATTTTTGGACCTGGAAATCAATATGTCACAGCTGCAAAAATGCTTCTCCAGGTATGCATCTTTTTCCTCGTAGATCTTAGGTGCAGGCAATCATATGGACTACCATCTTGTTATTGGCTTGGTTCCTCTTCAGAGTAATTGTTACCTTTGTGGCAACTCAATGATGTAGGAACTAGAAAGAGAGGCTAGAGTTAGAATTACTCTGGTAGTGCTCTAGTCTTCAGAGCTAAAAAGACGGAAAAAATAGAACTAGCTTAATTACACCTAATTATCAAAAAAAAACACATTACACCTTGAAGATTTTAGAAAAATATACAAAAGGTAACAGACAATACTTCTTTGTCTTCCTTTTGAAAGAACACAATGCATAAATGTATATAGACTGAAAAACTCTTTCATAATTAAATAACTTCCATGAGCTGCTTGTCACTTGCTTTTTGTCTCTTTCAATTAACCTTGTACTTATGGCCTACTCATAACCTGTTTCTCACCTTCTTGCGAGCATCTCATGTTGTCACCTACTTGTCACTTCGAGATGATAGCATACACCTAGTCTTGGATAGAGTTGATGACTAGTCAAGTAGTTCATTTTGTTGAGGGTTCAATTGATCTAACCATATTTGTCTAATTGCATCAACTGTTTCCTTCAAAGGTCACAAGAGTAGCCATTTTACCTGAAAAAAGTCTCTTCAAACCTCAAAAATTAACTTTGCTTGTCCGTATTTATTGGCTGCACCATTGAGATATTCATTTCCTTTGTTTTTTTTCTTTCTTAGTTGTAGCCTCGTGTTTGTTCTTTTCTTTAATGCAGAACAGTGAAGCCATGGTCTCAATTGACATGCCTGCTGGTCCTTCAGAAGTTCTTGTCATTGCAGACAAACATGCCAACCCAGTTCATATAGCAGCAGACTTACTATCTCAGGTGTTAATTTTATGTTTATATTTTTTATATTTGGGTATCCTAGTTTTCCTATTGACATATTGAGGCCATTGCTTTAAAACTTCTGCTTGTCTAATGTGAACAATATGCTTGATATGATCTTACAAAATTACAATTTTACTTTTACCTGCAAGTCTATTAAAAGTTTCTAGATGTTTAACTTAATATGATATACATTCTCTATCTGCTGAAGCTCCTCTACTGGGGGGAAAAGAAACTTTGGCTGTCCATGTTTGACAACCTGGGCTGTCAATAGGTCTCTCTCCCTGTGTGACACATTAGTTCACCCAGCAATGCATCCAGCACCAATGTCATTATAAGGAGTCTATGTGATCTTGAGCTAATTGTCATGTAGGGAGAAGACACACACATACAGACAAAAAAATGAAGAAGACAAGGATAAGAGCAATTTCCCTTCATAATGTTAATGTCCTTCCCATTCTTGTTTGCAACTTCATGAACTCAGCATTGTTTTGGTTGTTTGCAGGCAGAGCATGGCCCTGATAGCCAGGTTGTACTGGTCATTGTTGGTGATGATGTAGATGCGAGGGCCATTGAGAAGGAAATCAGCAAGCAATGCCAGAGCCTTCCAAGGGGAGAGTTTGCCTCAAAAGCACTAGGCCACAGTTTCACTGTGTTTGCTCGTGATATGGTCGAGGTCAGTTCCCATTTTCTTGGCTGGGCTTTGCATAGCCTCACAACCTTTAATCAAATGATTAAAACAAATCTTCTTTCTTAGTGTAGCATGAAAAAAAAGAAAAACAGGTTGAGGGCATTGTAGCATGAAATGTCTTTTTCACCATTTGTGATACCTAGAGTTATGAAGATAGTCTTTCAATAATCTTTGGGTGCATTTGTTTAGGATTGTAGACAAGAAAACTTGCATTGCAGTTTGCAGGAAGCTGAGGCTCCTCCAGCCTGATCTGTGTTTCTTATTCTTGGGATTGTTTCATTCTTTTGTTCTAAGGGTCATGTGCTCCTTTACTAGGTCTTATGGATTTATTTTTGTTTTCTTAATTTATAGTTTCCTTTTATAGTGCTGATGAATCTATTGCCTCATTTATGTTGAACATGGACCTGCATGATCCTTGTTAATTTTATGATAGGAAATGCCTTTTTTACCTGTTGAACCTTTGTTTTATATCTTCCATTTTATTGCTGGAGAATACAATAATTATGTAAGTTATCTGCTCCATTAGTGATCAAATTGGGTAAATTAACACTTCTGGAATATCTGGATATCATTAAGAATAGTTTTCATGTAGTCAATTGTAGGTGATATCAAGCTTTAGCAGTGGATTTATCATCTGGTTGATGGTTGGTCCAGTCCTTCTCATCAATTATCTAAGAGTGGTCATGATATAAAATGATACCTGATGATCTTAGCTGACTGAAGGGTATATGTATGTCTGGGATATTGTTGGGATTTCCTTATATTACCTTATTACTGAACCTGTCTGGTTGAAAATATTCAGGCAATCTCCTTTTCAAACTTATATGCACCTGAGCATTTGATTGTCAATGTTAAAGACGCAGAGCAGTGGGAGGGGCTCATTGAAAATGCAGGTAACATGTGTTCTTGTAACTCTAAATTTTATTGCAACAACTATACCTTATTTAGATTTTAGCATTTGTAATTTTTGCTCACTCTAGGTTTATGCATAGTTCTGCTGTTGAAATTTCTTGTAATTTGTCTTATTCTTTGTAAGTTATTATTCTCCATCCATGAGGTGCACATGCAGGGAGGGCAGGTCATCTAGTTTCCAGTCTAATCCAAGATGTGAAACTGTGGGAAAGAAAATGACAAACCAGAAAATTAACCAGAATAAGAAAAGAAGAAAGACAAATGTGGTTTGACTTAGTAGCCTACATTCATAATCACTTGTTGGGTATATTTAATTGGCTTTTATCCCTCCCACCAAAGTGATCCACCTTCTTTCCCCAACCAATCCTCTCACTCTCTTTCTCTCTCTCCTTCCTATCAGTTTGATCTATTTAGCTCATGGTTTAAAATGTCTATAAATTTCTATTTCCATGACATGTTTCCATTTCTATGGTACTGACATGAAATACTACTGGAATCGACATATTTCCCGTTGAAAGCTACCAACAATGTTGTAGAGTGCAACAGGTGTAAGCCTCAAGCATGTATTTTTTTATAGTTGGAAATTTTAATAATAAAACATCATATTCAAATAAAAACAGATATTTTGAGCATGAAACAGGGTTAATAGATGTTTATCAATTTAACAGCTTAGTTCTTTACAGTTAAGGTTAATAGAGCGTTCTTAGCTTTAAGAAGAAAAAGCAAATAATTGCTAGAATTTTTTTTAACGAACAGTTGCTATATCAATAATTAACAGAATAGAGCAAAATTGAATTAACTTTTCCTTTTTGAGTTGTGTGTGTGCTACTAGAAAGTGTTCAGAGTGGGGTTTAAAAGGGTAATCATTTTGTGTTTAATGTAGTATATGTTTCAATGAATAAGGTTATGCCCATGATTCTTTTCGTCTTCTCCTACACATTTCTCTTGTTATTCTTCCTTCTCTTCTCTCTTTAGAAGTAGGTTTGTTTACAGTGACTGGCAGGCTTTTGATGTCATCATTGCCAACTGCTGATGTCAACAGACTGTATTGTTGGCACTTCCTCTTGGTCATGGAAACCCTAGTTTCTAGTTGGGCTTGATTTTAGACATATTTTGGTTGTGGTTTCATGCCCGTTTGTATACGGTTTTTTATTTTATTGGGTTTCCTTTTGTGACAATAAAAAAAAAATCAGATTTGGGTATTCTCTGGATCCTGTTGTATTTGCTTTTTTTTTTCCAATGCATGATTCCTACACTGATTCATGTGATATTTGTGGATGTGTCTCTCTTTTAGGGTGGAATAACAATGAAGAGAGGCAGAATGATCTTCATTATCTTCCTATTCTGATTCTTGCTCCTTCGCTTTCAGGCTCCATCTCTTTGTCATCTGTTTCTTCCTCATCTACACCTCTTGATGATATGCCAGTGCAAGAAGTATAGGTTCTAGGGTAAGAGTTGCGGATATTTCTAAGACATAAGAAGAGGGTAACTCTAGAGGCTAATCCTCCACCACAATCAGATTCTATGAATTCAAGTATTCCTCCTATTTCTTCTTCTCATGTTATTGATCCCATTCATATTGCCACTACTAGCATTGATTATCATGATGTTTTGCCCACTCATGTCTATTAACTTGACCTTCCTATTGCTTTACGAAGGGAAAGCAAAAATACACTCAGTCAGCCTGTTATACTATCTATCCCATCTCAAACTCTCATATGATTTTTTCTCCTTCATATCTTTTCTTTCTGATATGTCTTTAGTTTCTATTCCCGAGAGTGTTGCAGAAGCTGTTGCTCAATCCCACTAGGAGGTTTTGGATCAAGAAATGAAATTCCTAGAAAAGAATCAAATCTGGCAGTTGTTTGAATTGTCTTGGTGTAAGAAACTTGTAGGTTGTAAGTGGGTTTTCACATTAAAGTATGATGCTAATGTCTCCATAGAAAGGTACAAGATTTGGCTAGTTGCTAAGGGATATAATCAAATGTACAGAATTGACTACTCACCTTTTTTGGCCGTCACACCTAAAGGATGTCAATAATGCTTTCTTGAATGGTGATATGCAAGAAGAAGTTTATATTAGATCTTATTCATAAAAAAAAGTTTATATTAGATGTTTCTACTAGTGTATCTTTTTCTGGAAGTGAAGGCAAAGTGTGTAGGCTTTTGAAATTCATCCATGGGTTGAAGCAGTCTCCCTGAGCTTGGTTTGACAGGTTTGGAGGAGCTCTCTAGAAAGTGGAATATACATAGTCACATGCTAATTGTACCCTTTTTTTTAAGAGAGTTGGAGGCTTGGTTACAGTTTTGATTGTGTATGTAGATGACATTGTGATTACCAGCAACAATGTGGCTAAGACAAACCATTTGAAGCAATTCTTAGCCATAGAATTTGATATAAAATATCTTGGTGAGTTAGATACTTTCTAGTAACCGAAGTTGCAAGATCCAAGAAAGATATCGTTATCTCACAAAGGAAGTAAATCCTTGATTTGTTGAAGGGAACTGGTAAGATTGGTGCTAAACCTGTAGGATAGTCCCATAGATCCTAATCACAAGATTTGTGGAGATGTTGGGGAGGTGTTGCCTGACAAAGGAATGGGTGTATCAAAGGCTGGTGGGTAAATTGTTCTCTCTCTCCCTAACTCATCCAGACATTTCCTATGTAATTTGTGTGATTGACAGTATATGCACCAGTATTGACTTCTCCATTTGGTTGCAGTTGAAAGAATTCTATGTTAGTTGATGGGTACTCTTGGCAAGGGTCTCTTCGCATGCTCCACATGGTCATCTGAAGGTAGAAGCCTATATTGATACTAATTGGGATGAATTAGTTGATGAAAGGTCCATTTTTTCTTGGAGAAATAAGAAACAATCTGTTGCTAGATCAAGTGCTAAAGCTGAATACAGAGTAATCAAGTTGCTTTGAAGTTATTTGTGATAATCAAGTTGCTATCAATATTTGCCTCCCTTTTGTGAAGTCCTGTGATCAATTGGCTGTTTGCCTAACTAAAGGATTATCTCATTCTAGGTTGGAAGAAAACTTTGTGAAAGCTAGGCATGTTCAATATTATACCTAGCTTGAGGGGGAGTGTTGAGAGTGGCATTCAAGTAAGGGTAATCCAGGCATTTTGTGTTTAATTGTAATGGAGGGTATATGTGCAATTTCTCTAATCTGGTATATATTTCAATGAATATGGCTATGCCCATGATTCTTTTGATCTTCTCCTATACTTTTCTCTTGTTCTTCTTCCTTCTCTTCTCTCTCTCTCTTCTTTCTTTTTTTCTCCTTTTTTTCACTGTTGCACAAGTGAAAGTATTCTTCACTCGAAATTGAGGAGAGCAGTAGGAAAGAGCTTACCAATATAAAGATAACAGAACAGATAATGAAGTTGGAGTCTTGAAGCTGCTGCGAGTCTTCGAAAAAAGGACAGTAAGAACTAAAATAGGGTTGAATGATAGGGTCAGATGAGCTGCTGTTCAAGTTATGCCATCGGTCCAAGAACAGAACCAATGAAGACTATGAATAGAGCTAAAAGAAAAAATAACGGAGTTAACATGTTGCAATAGCAACTTCGAGACTGGGAGGCTTGAGACTTGAACGTTGGAGGTTGGTTGCAGTAGTATCTTCGAACCTTGGATCCCTAACCTTTTCTTTGCAAAATGAATTGGCTGGTAGGGGTGTTGGAACTTGGAACCTACCAACATTTTGGATCAGTTTGGGTAAGAAATTTGGTACCTAACCGACATTTTGGTTTTGACCATTTCATAAACTGAATTGAACCAAATTCAACATCAGATCAAACTAAACCAAACTAAATTCCTATTGGTTTGGTTCAGTTTGAAATCAGTTTGGGCCTTTTTGATAGGTTTTCAGCACCCAAGCTCAGCACATAAGCCCACATTTGTGTATCTTTGGAATTATGGGCTAAAACAAATAATTCAAAATACAATCCAAGCTCAAAATTAAAGTGAAGTCTCCTTTTTTTAGTAAGAACCCAAGTACATGGGTTTGTTTAGACTTTTGATAATGATACAACACATTTCTTCACAACACAACTCATCAAGTACCAAAATGATGGTTTTTTCTTTTTTATTTTCTTTTTGATTTGGGATAAAAACTAAGTATCGGTTTTAACAACTTGGGTTGTTGGCAACCTCATTATAATTTTAAGAACTAACAAATCAAATAATTTATGAATATATCATATGCTTTTATATATTAATATTAATTTATGATCTTTTAAATTTCAAACTGAACTGAACAAGAAACCAAATAAATTGGCCAAACTAGCTTATTTGGTTTGGTTTAGTTTGGTAGCCTCTTTACTATTTAAAATAATGATACAATGCAATGGGGACCAGGATATAACCATGTCTCCACCAATACAAGTTAAAAAACTCAACGAACATGCGAGGTGCATGCCTCTTCTACATGCCTCTATATGCCTTTGTACAGGCATGCACTTCATATGTCTCTACACTTCTCCTGTATGCCTCTGTGTTTTTGGGGTGCCTTGCTCCTCCACATGTTTTTGAGGTGCCTTGCTTGGAGGACTGCCTCTAGGTGTGTGCTCCCATGCCTTTTAAAACACTTGCTACTGGTTGCTATGTGGAATACAATAAATGGTATTATAACATGGTGAAAATATTTTAGATATGTGGAGTAGGAATGCTATTGCCCACCTAATAGACATGATTACCACTTTAAGCTAGCTCGATATTTTTTTTTCAAATGTGAAGTTGTGCTTAGTTTTATTTTATAATAAATTATTTGGTTGATTTGAGTCATTTGCACTTTATAAATTTTGCATGAAGATAATAATAATTTAAATGGGTCTACCTATGTTTTTCTTATCATTACATAAATTAATATTCTATATATTTTCTTATTTTTCAATGTTTTCACTAGGTCTATTTCCATACAACATTTCATACATTTGTGGCGTGTCCTATATTTGGATGATAATATTTTCTGACACCGACTATATGGGGTCAGCTACATGAATCCTGCTTCGCCAATCCATTCTATTTAAAGCCATATCCACTGTTAAATTATTAGTTCTTAAACCTTTTCTTACTACTTCTACCCATGTTTGTTTTGGTTTTACCCCAAGCTCTTCAGGTCCCTTTAGTGTGGTCTTCTATATGCATGTGCCCAAACCATCTTAAACTATTCTCTCATTTTATCACCTATTATAATCCTAGGTTCCTACAGATAATTTAATTGCTAATTTGCCACATTCATTTTCTGGACATGTTCTTGACTGCTCAACACTCCGCTCCATACAACATGGCTGGCCTTGTAACTGTTTTATAGAATTTTTCTTTTAACTTAAGTGGTATTTGCCTATCACATAGAAGTCCAGATGCACCCTTCCATTTTACCCACCCTTTCTCTAATTTTTTGTATTGTGATATTTATACATTACCCACATAATATAATAGTCTGTCAGAGATTATGCAACTCTCTATCTAATCCATTCAGCTTGTCTGCAACTAGTTATTCTCCTCTTCTTCACTCCACTTCATAGACCGCACTTATAAACACATTTTATTCACTTAAATCATTGCCAAAGCAGCAATTCAGTATCAAAGCATAATATGCATGATATATTTGATTCAATTTGATCAGTTTGTGGACCTATCTAACGCAGTTCAATTAAGCATGAAATTTTATGCTGGTTTTTCATCTTCAGTACAAAGCATTTTGAACTGTTAATAATACCAAAAATGTGCTAGTTTCTGATTAGGGAAAATTTCCGATTAGTAGTACTCTGTACTTTGGGCCTAGTGCCACCTTGGCCCCGAACTTTAAATTGCAACAATTTAGTACCCAAACTTTCAAAATGTGCCAATCTAATACCTGCCGTTAACCAGTCATTAAGTGGCATTTGAAAAGACACAAATCCCTTTCAATTGTCATCTAGTTCTCTTTATCAACCATCCAAACATTGATAAAAAAATGAACAGTCCCAAATCCTTACCTCTTCTATTCAAGAAAGTTGGGGTCACGTCTAAATAGGCATTCTGGTGACCCCAACTTTCTTGAATAGAAGAGACAAGGATTTGAGACTTCATTTTTTATCAACGTTTGGATGGTTTATAAAGAAAATTAGATGGCACTCTAAGGGCATTTGTGTCTTTTCAAATGCCACTTAATGGCTGGTTAAGGGGCTGATTAGTGGCAGGTACTAGATTGGCACGTTTTGAAAATTCGGGTACTAAATTGTCGTGTTTTAAAGTTTGGAGACCAAAGTAGCACTAGGCCCAAAATACAGGGTACTAATCGGGAATTTTCCTTTTAATGAAAAAGGAACATTATGTGGAATCTTTTTTCAGGTTCTGTATTTTTAGGGCAATGGACCCCGGAGAGTGTGGGAGATTATGCCAGTGGGACTAACCATGTTCTTCCCACATATGGATATGCACGTATGTATGGGGGAGTATCTTTGGATTCCTTCCTCAAGTACATTACAGTGCAGTCTCTGACAGAGGAAGGTCTAAAGGAGCTTGGTCCTTATGTAGCAAAGATGGCTGAAGTTGAAGGGCTGGAAGCCCACAAGAGAGCTGTAACCCTTAGGCTCCAGGACATTGAATCGAGGCTACCAATTTGAGATGGTATTCATTTATTGTCTGAATGTTTGAAATGTACGTGGTTGACCACTTGCAGTACCAAGGGGAAAGAAGCACTAATAAGGTCCGCGCTATTTTATCAAGGCCCAATTCGATAAGCTCTTTGACAAATAATTTATTTTTCTTCATTGGAATTCATCAGCCCTAAATTTTGTAGTTGAAGAGAATTGAATTCACCAACGAATTTCATCTGTTTCTATTTTATAAATTCTGTATAAATTAAGTTTGCAGGTACTGTAAGTCTTTTTTCTCTTTGTTATGAAAACTAAGAAAATGTCATGTGGAAAAGCTTATATTGACATCGGTTTACAAATTGTAAGAGAAGACTTCAACCTATTAACCAAATCCAGATGGTGCATAAGCTATTATAGGAAGAAGATCAAATTGTAAGTCTTTTTTTTATGGAAAGAGGATGAGCTACACAAGTCGGGGGTAGTTCTTCCCCTTAAATCCGCATAAGAAATAAAACTAAAATTGAAAGTTATCCAATCTCTTTGATAGGGTTGGTAATCTTGACCCCAGCCCATTTGACCCACCAACTTTGGAACCCACCCATACTCACTAGACCTAGCAAAAGTTGACCCAACTCAACCCGAAAAAAGCAGGGTTAGGGTCTCATATTTAGCTACCTGAATGTGAAAATGACCCGACCCGACCCAAAAAATTGGGTTAGGTTGGGTTGGGTCATGGGTCAATCCGCAGACTTGATTGTCAAGTCTAATTGGGATTATTTATGCATTGTTAGAAGTTTTCACTCCCTAACTTTTTCTATTTAGTCTTTATTTTTTATTGTTTACTCTTTAAATTGTTAAATGTTCAAGTTTTTTATTTTATATTTGGAATTTTAAGGTTAATTCTTTTAATTTTGACATTTTCATGTAATTTTTCTTTATTTTTTTAAATTTCAATTATTTTTTGGGATGGCCCTAATTGACCCATGGGTCAACCCTAACCCGAACATTTAGGGTTAGGGTCTAGCATTTGACAACCCAACCCGAAGTACTTTGATTCAACCTAAACCTGACCTACTCAACCCAATTGCCAGCTATTGGCGGGTCAATATGGGTCGAGTAATCCATTAGGGTCAGTGGAAAAGGGTTAGGTTGAAGGTATTCATTAGGGTCCGGATGGGTTGGGTTAAAGTCAGCTCTATTTATACTTGCCAAATTGAAAAAAGAAAAATTGCAATTGAAATGATTTGAACTTAGACCTCCTAACTCATCTATATCTCATTAGAATTCCAAGCCATCATGCCACCTTTCATTTTGAGATTAAAAGTGAAATAAAATAGATTATATTTGCTTTCATGTTCACATGCAACTTAACACAAAAACACTTCTACAAAAACAATTTTATAAAGTAATTTTATGAAAAGGACTTTTACAAAAGCACTTTCATACAATGATTTAAAAGGCACACCTAGGTGCACAAGTGAAGCGCATTTTAGGGTATGCACCTTGCCTAGGTCCTAGGTGCAACCCTTTCAAAAGGCGTACGCCTGGTGTGCCTACACATGCACTTGATGTGCCTTGTGCCTCAGCCCAGGTGTGCACCTATTGAAATTTTGACGCTTATTTGTTTATTTGAACATAGTGGTTGGGTCGGGGGCTCTGCCCCCGGACCCCCCTGTGTAACGCAAAATGTCTTCTTAAAAAGCAATTAAAACTATAAAATCATTATTTTGTGTAAAAACTAAGAATATAAGACCTAACGTGGACTTGTTTGGGCTTGCCTCGAGGGGCGTTGAACAACAAAAGCGGCTCATAGAATCAGTAATGTACATTACATTAGCTACTTGAAGTAATGCAATGGAGTGAAAAAAGAGATTATAGGTTTTACATGCTTGAAAATGATTTATATGTTTGATTTTATTTTTAAATTCTCATTTGAATATGGTTTACATCTTATGTTTATGTATTTTAATTTTAGATAATAGGTTTTTTAAAACATTTATTTTAAAATTTAAGTTTATATTTTTTATTAATGTTATGTTTAATATTTTTATTTTTTTGAATTTTTTGACATTTTTTAGCTTTTTTTTTGTATTCTTGCGCCTTGCCTAAAAAAGAAGTACACCTCACCTTGTGTCTTGTGCTTCAGGCGCAAATCGACCCCTTTGCCTTTTTTGTGCCTTGCACTTTTAAAACAGTTTTTACAAAAGTACTTTTACATGAAAGCACTTTTATAAAAGTATTTTTACATGAAACCACTTTTATAAAAGTATTTTTACGAAAGTATTTCTACAAAAGAACTTTTACAAGAAAACACTTTATGAAAGGATTTTTACGAAAACACTTTTATGAAAGAATAAAAGCACTTTTACGGAAGTACTTTTATAAAAGTGCTTCACCAAAGCACTTTTATAAAAGTTATGCATTTTCTGCAATTTCCTGTAATTTTTGGCATCTTTTGCAATTTTCTGATATTTTTCTACATTTTTTGAAAATTTCAGGTATTTTTCTACATTTTCTACAATTTTTTAGTTTTTTTTTTGCGTTTTTCGTAATTTTCTACTATTTTCTGCATTTATCTACAATTTTTACATTTTTGGGTATACGGGTTGACCTAACTCATTTTTGTCACATGGAAGTCTTGAGAGACATTATTCTCTGAAAATTTATTATTTCGGATATACGAGCCGTCTCGACCCATTTTTGTATTTATAAGTAAAGGTAGGTGGGTTAATATGGATGAGGGTGGTTAGGGTTAATGTGGGTTATGACCCTTTAACAATGATTGATGATGGGTCATGGTGGGTTAGTGGATCAATATGGGTGAGTTGGTATTCAACCCTTACCCAACCCAACCCACCCATTTGCCACCCCTACTCTTTGATCATGTGAGTTTTTAGGTAACATTTGATCCATCACAACAGTTTTGTTATGCTGAGTCAAAAAACATAGTAATTGAAGGGAGGCCTAATGCACACTTGCAGTTAGGTCTCCGTCATTGTAGCTTGTCTCCCTTACTGTTCAACAAAATGCCTGAAAAGAACGCTGCCATGTTAATTTAATATTTTATAACTGAAGTTATAGGCCCAAAGCCTGGTCAAGTCACGGCCCATGATCACCCCTTTTTTTATGACTTTAATTCTGTTCTGGCTGGTATTAACCTTGACCGGTCTTGAATCGACCTTACCTAATTTGTTACTGAATAATTCTTGGAACTGGCCTCGGCTCAGGCCATTTTTAGGGTCTGGGGGTTTATCCTGCCTAACCAACCTGGAGAACCGGCCTTGGAACAGAATGTAAAGATATTGTTTTCTGGCATAATAAAAAAGGGATCATTTAAAACGTTAAACGTTAAAGATACATAACCAGCTCCCTTGTACAAAAGGAATCTTGATGCACTAAATGGGGTGTTTTAACAAAAAGAAACAAAACTCCTTTTATTAACTGATCTAGCAATTACATGAGCAGATTCGACTTCACTTCTATGAACATGTATATGAACTTAATATCTACTAAAAGAGATGGTAGCTCTCTCGGGTATGATCTAACAGAACCTGCTCGCTCCAGGCAATGCTTCCCATGGTTCCTTTAGTTTTTGAGAGGACAAATTTGCATCTGAGATAGTAGTTCAACTGTTGTCATACAAGTGGTAACTAATCAGGTGGTATTCATCAACTGTTTATCATCCATTATATTATAATTAAAAAGTAAAAATGAAAGAGAACTAATGGGTACTATTGTTATTAATGGTAGAAATGATCCATTGATTGGGTCAAATGGGTTGATCATTAAAAAGTGAAAATGAAAGAGAACTAGTGGGTACTATTGTTATTAGTGGTAGGAATTAAAAAAAATAAAATAAAACTACAAAACTGGAAAGGGAATAAATGTCTGAACATTGACCCATCATGTTCTTGACCAAGTCAACATTTTTTTTTCTTTTTTTTTTGCAACATGATTGTTTGGATTGAAGCTGGCTCGGGAATCAATTTGCGTGACAGGTCAATCAATTCTGTTATGTTGAAAGCATTGATCTAAGGTGTAAATTGGGCTGTGCTGTGGGCCGGACTGGTCCATGGGCCAAACCTTGGGTCAGGTTGGGTCATGGACTGGGCCAAAGCTATTTATTTAAAAATTTTGAAAAAAAACTTAAAATTTTAATTTTATATGAATTTTGATGTATATAATTTCTTATATATATAATAATTAAATAAATTAATATAATAAAATTGAAAACAATTATTTATTTTATTAATATATTATATATTATTATATTATTATAATTTAATGAATATATTATATTATATATAAATATATAAATAATATATATGAGCCGTGCTGGGCCGTGCTGACACATGGGCTACGGGCAGCACAGTCCACTTGGTCAGGTGGCACATTTGTATTTTGTATTATTCTGTATGCATTTGCAGTGTACATATTTATATTTATATTCTTTCTAAATTGAACCTTAAGCTGCATTTGGTTGCAGTGCAATTTTATTTGCATTAGCACAAATGTAATGGAGTACAAATGAAAAAAAAATGCAAATTCTAGTTTAATTTTGTTTTGGGTATTACTCTATTTTGCTTCAGGTCCTATTTTATTTCCTTTTTACTACAACCAAATAAAATAAGGTAAATTTTGAAATAAAAACCAATCACAATTTACCATAAATAAATTTGCATTGCAACCAAACACAGACACCTTTAGAACAAAGTAATAAGTCATTCAGTTTGGTTATTGTATTAGACAAGATGAATAATTTGATCATGGACCACTTCAATTAGCTAACTGTTGGCTCCAGAATTAAATCAGAAGACAACTCTTAGTTTATTTAATTAACCATCTGATTTGGGAGTATTAATTTGTAAAGCTCCTTTTGAAATTTAAGAGAAACTTTTCCACTGTCCAATTAATTGCAATGCTCATAGATGGTGTAATTTGAGTTATGAACGACCCAGTCTGTATGAAAACATGTTCTTTTAAGCTAGAAATCTCCAAGAATCAAATGCATACAAAACAAAGAACACCCCCTTATTTGCTGAGAAAGGATTTCCTAGGAGGTGTAGGAAAGAAGTACGTATAGGAAATCGGGATTCATACATACCTTCTAGAGATTTCCATGTAAAGCTTGCTTGAACTGACCAAACCATTGCTAGTTCTATCTCGAAGCCATGATAAAATTGCTCCAAAAACCATGTCCACGCCTTCCTTTGGCTCACCGATCAGTTGATGCCACATTCCTGAAAAGATTTTCAGCGTTTTGTCCTTGCTTTCTGCCAATTCATACAACAGCCTTGCAGAGTCTGAGTCGCACACTTGGTCATCTTCCCCGTGGAGCACTAGCAGAGGGAGCTCCAACTCATGGGACCTCCTCTTTACCTGCTCACACACTCGGAGGAACTCCAGTGCAGTGGCTGCCGGCGGCTTACCGGAGCTCCGGCGGTTCGGATTTCCGGCCACCAGCTTTCTCTTCCACTCCTCCTTGAAGGACCTGCTGGCTATGGGCTTTGTGATCACTATTTTCCAAGTGGGTGCAAAGAAAGCTGCCACCGGGAGCAGCATCTCAAGGGGCCACGCTGGTCTGAACTTGGCAGACACCCCACACATGGCTCCACTCAGAACCAGACCACTCCATAGCTCTTTCTGTCTCAGGGCAACTAGAATGGCTATTGCACCCCCAAGTGACTCTCCATATAGAAAGGCTGGAAGCTTTGGGTGGTTAGCTCGAGCTGTGTCAAAGCATTGGATGCAGTCATCGACGACTGGTCTGATGTCTGGAATGTGACCACTCAGGCCCTCAGAGAAGCCATGGCCTTGGAGGTCAAGTGCTGTGACATAAAACCCAGACTTAGCAATGGCCACTGCAGTGAGCTCGAAGATCCAACTACTGTCAGAGGTGTAGCCATGGACCATGGCAACTACTCCCCTTGGCCGAATGGTTGAATCAGGGCCCCAACACTGTGTGAAGATCTTCATGTTCTGCTTGTTGAGGATGAACTTTTCCTGGTGAAGGACACTGTGTTTCTTGTAGAACTCTTCTCTTGTGAGCTCTCCAAATGGGCTGTTTTCATTTGCTTGGTGAATTGGGTGAGCCATTTGATTCTCTCTGGGGCCTTTGGTCTTGTGATCACTGGTTGAGTTGTGCATGGAGATGGCTTGTCATCTTTTATAAGAAAACTTCCCTAACCCAAGGCCCCACTCACCGCTCCATAACTCACCAACAGACACTGTCCAGACAAACTGACGTGATTTATTGCACTTAGCACACGGATTCTCCTCGCCAACGCCAAGTGATCTGAATTTGATCCACTATATATTTTCAACAGTTTTGTAAAACATACATTCAAATTGGATTTATCCAATTGAAATTTCTGCAAATCTGTATAAAATTAACATGAACTTATAGATTTAAACTTGACCCAACTTGATTATAATTTTAAGGAATTTCAATACTAAAAACAATATTTTATACATGTATATAATAATGGGATCCTTGCATATTAATTGAATGAAGCAATATCCAAATTCAATTGGATTATGGGTAAGGGGATGTCCAAAATTGACTTAAAACAAATTGGATTATTGCTAAGAATCCAATTGAAGTTTGAAATTGAATTGAATTTGAATTTGAATTGAAATTGAAATCTGCCATTCCATTCCTCTGAGTGGCTAAAACCTTGCACACAGCAAGCTTCATGTGCGTAGTTTCATAAATTATATATAATGTTCTAAACCAATTGTCAATTTACTTGGGTTCCTAAATTGTACAGATCATATCTAATAATTAGCGGTCCGTATCTTATCCTTCTTGTCGTTTCATAATGACTGAAGTTGCTGAATTGAATGACTTATTGCATTGTCTTTTAGTACATAAAATAATTTAATAATAATGTATTAATTCAAGGGTGCATGAATTTATATACCATCTTCAGCTTTAACCATGCACTAAGAGTCCACAACCTCCTTAAAATTTATTCACTAAAAGCAAAGCAATAAGCTTTTCAGTTCAGACACTTGAGCTCTTATGAATTGGAAGGTATCTAAAATATCATATCCATTGTTTTATAGTTGAAAGGTCAATATAGAAAAATAAAAGATAGTGTTGCCAAAATAAGTTCATCAAGTTGATGATTAGGGTCATTATTTGTAAAGGGTGGAATTTAATGCATCGAACAAACTCTATGACTCCATAAATATATATTTAATTATTATTTTTCTTTTAAGTGCAATGCAAGGAGAATTTAATGAAATAAAGTTACGTGTAGTGGATAAGGTTATATAGGGAACTACTTCGGTTAGCCGTTGAGGAAGTTATTAAGTATCGGCCGGTTTGAAAGGGCTTTCATGCAAGGACTTCTAGCTTTGTAAGGTGGTTTTACAAGAAAATCGGACAAAAACAGCTGGTTTAGAGTTCTTATAAGCCACCTTAGACTTACCTTGGCGGCCGGAAGTTCATTTGGAAGAGTTTTTGCATTGATTGAGCTGTATTGGCCGAATTGCTTTTGAAGAAGCTACTTAAAATAGCTTCACGTACTGCAAAGTTGATTTTTTAGCTCATATAAGCCTATTTTCAGTTTTTTGATATTTTACCCAGTGTTTTCGAATTGCTGTTGATCCGGACGGTCGGACCGGGAACCGTCCAGGCAAGCGGTTCTGTTTTTGCATAAAATCGGAATCTGGTAAAAAACCATTGAAAAAGTAAAACGTTAACCCGGGCAGTTGAATCGTTGACCCATTCAACGGTTTTTGGTCGTTTTTTAATTATTTTTTAAAATTTTTCTATCAGAACGAACTGTCTGTTCAAACTGGACGATCGGACCATCAACCCGAAAACTGGTGACCAAAATGATTCCGTTTTCAGATCGTTTTTTAAAACATTGATTTTACCTCAGCTCATATAAAGCTGGAAGACGTTGCTTCCAAATCGACATTTGGTAGCTTTTTAAAAGTGGCTCAGTGAAAGCAGCTCAAGAAAATGTAACAAAAGGTGCATAAAGTTCMTTGCACTATAATTTCCTTATTTATAAGGTTTTGCCTACTAAACAGAAACCCATTTTATGAGTTTTAATAGTTTATCAAATGGAAATAGCAAAAATAAAGAAAACTGATGCCTCTTTATATTCTTTCTTCCTGTACTATAAAAGGAATTTAGCGTCTTAGAATCATATTGTCCTTTCACCCAAAAAAAAAAAGAAAAAAGAAAAAAGAAAAAAAAATAGTATGTCCAAAACTCAAAGTGGGTAAATGATCATTAAGTAAATATAATGGATACCAACATAGGTACCTGACCCTGCATTATCTAATTGAAAGATATTAATTGCACATTGATAGAAGCACATAGAAAAATACTACGTGCTTACATAGCTTTCTTCCTCCTGGACAAGCTTTCATTAATACTGAAACTTTAATGGATACCAACATAGTCTTCAACCGGCAATAAGATTGAGAATCAAGCTATATATAGATGGCGATGTAAGACCTATCAACAAATGCAAATTTAATTCAGTCAATTGGGTTGAGCAGACCCAATAGGCCTGAACCAAACTTTGTTTTGTTATTTTGAATCAATTATATATATAGATACAAACATTAATATATATATATATATATTTAATTATTATCTCAGTCTAACACCTATTAATTTTTCTCTTTCAACATAAATTTATACTTGTAATATCATCTTATTTTGATGTCTAAACGTGTCAATAATCAAGGATTAGAATGTTGATATGCGCAATACCCAAAGTTGGATATCGGTGTATATCGATATAATTAATACTCCTTTTTTATATTTTAAGTTTTTAAATATCAGGAAGATGGGATAGACTATCCGAAGTTTTAAATGTTGTAAAATGGTTGTAATCAGTTGAACAAATAAATAGGGTTATTGTCAAATTATAGGTTAAAATTAATATTGCTATCAATTATGGTTGACAGTTCAATTAGAGGCCCTAATAAAGGTAGACAGCACCATGCATCTAACTGTACAAGTGTAAGTAGAACTTTGATTTAATTATTAATTAAGATGGCTGTTTGTCTCAAGGGCAACGTTGCATTAAAGATGGTGGGATACATTATTTAGGGTGCGTTTAGAAATGATGCAAATAGAGTGTAAATCTCGGTTCAGGGTAAATTTGTATTCTGGTTCATTTTTTCGTGTGTTTGGCAGTATTACATTTTTGCATTAACAAATGATAGATCAATGCATATTTATATTGATAATAAAGTACATCAATAAAAAAGAAGTAAATTTGTATTCAAGTGAGCTTTTGATAAAAAAAAAGCATATGCAAAACTAAAAATCTGTTTGGTAAGAAGGTAAGAAGATAAATTTGTCAATGCAAAACTAACCCAATTTTATAATTTATATGAATCATTTTACACTACAAATGCAACCTTAATAAAAAATATTGAAAGCTGAGTGCATCACCATTTAAAGGAAATCAGAGTTGGTCTTTTATTTTCTTTTTCTTGTTCAAGAAGCTATCCAACACCTAACTCTAATCTATAAATAAAATCATAATGAACAGTTCATTATAGAAAGTGAGTCAGTTTAGTTTTCTTGTCTAATTAAGGGTTTACTTGACCAACATTTCTTCAGCTGTTAAGTATAATTTGTCATCAACAACTCTTAGCTACTTCGGAATATATATATAATTTGAGTCAAATTCCAAGTGATGGAATCCAACTAGCAGAAATATATATAGAGAGAGAGAGAGATACATCTCTTTCAATTCCTTGACTACTGATAGCAAGAAGACTATGCTTCACAGTTACTTCTATACTTCGGTGCTTCCCTAACTCCCTAGGGGCTTTGGCTTTCTTGAACAACATTTCTTCAGCTGTTTAAGCATAATAATTTGCCATCAACATCAACAGCTCCATTATTTCAGAATATTTAATGAGTCAGATTCCAAGTGATGGAACCCATCTAGAAGAAATACTGAAACATAATTAAATCTACCTTTGACTGATGGCAAGAAGACTATTCTTCACAGCCACTTCTTCCATGGAATCCAACTACTAACTAGCAGCTAACGGTTCCTTGACTGATAGAAAGAAGACCATATGCTTTACAGCTTTCTCTTTGATTTAGAGAGTGGTGGCAGGGAATCTTTGATAACCGTATCCCACCATATATTGGCTAATGGCTATTCCCATTGAAGTTCCCAAATTTCTGACTTAGATCGGACATTAAACCGGAATATTGCTCACCGGGTTATGGTTTTACGTACCGGTTAATTAGGCAGTGAATCCGTTCAAAACCATTATTTAACCGAAATCCAAAAAAAAAAATGTAGTTGGGATTTTGGGTTCGTCTGGTGTAATTTTACTAGGGGTATCAATTGGATTGGATTTGGTCCAATCCAATCCAGTTAAATGTGAGTCCATTATAAATGGAACAGGTCCAATATAATTCAATGAATATTTTGGATCATTTTGGACTGGTTTAATTTAATGTCTGGACTATTTAATCTGTTCAAATTTGTTTTAATTTAAATTAATTCTAACCCAAATCTGTTACATTGACACTTATATTTTTATCTTCTATGAATGGACCAGATATTGGTTCAATCCAACCCAATCCAATATGAATTCATTACGGATGGATCAAGTACAATTCAATCCAATAAATACTTTGGACCATTAAGTCTGGACTAGCTGGTTCAATTCAATGTCTTGTTGGTCTCCAATCCATCCAAATTGATTTTGGTTTGGATGGGGTCCAAACCCTAAATTTTACAACATTGATTTTGAGTCCTCTCTCTACTGTGCAGTTCTTACAACATTTGGATCAATGTTTTATTAGACTCGGACCAAAGAGAACAGAAAGTTCTGGTTAATTGTCCGGTTAAATTGTTAAGTCTCAATTTGGAAAGAGTGTTTATATTTGGAAGGGATACGAATACAAATATGTAGAGTGCAAACCTTGTATTTTATATTGTTTTGTATGTATTTGTACTGTATACATTTGTATTTGTACTCCTTCCAAACCGAGCCTAAGATTGTGGAAAGAGTACAAATACAAAATATGTACAGTGTAAATAGAAGGTTTAGAAATATAACATACAAGGTTTTGTATTGTACATATATGTATTTGTACTCCCACCAAACTGAGCTAAAG